AGTATCACTAAGTCCATGGGTTATACAATAATACAAAGTCAAATAAGCCCAATCCAATGGCCTTCAATCCATCTGACCAAGCCCTATTAGTGCGCTATCCATTTTAGTTCTATTAGTTAACTGTTAACATCTGTTAACATTTCGTTATAAAAAACATGAAATTTAAATTCAATTTTATTTATTAGTTTCACTAATACTAACAGATGCTAACAGTCAACTAACAGAACTGACAATCAGCTAATAGAACTGACAGTCAGCTAACAGTCAGCTAACTGAACTAATAGTCAATTAACATAACTAATAAAACAATAAAATCTTATATTAAATAAAAGCTATTTTCTTCAATTTGTAGAAATAAGGGGTTAAAAGTTTCATAATATAAGATGAGGGGCTAAAATCTACCAATTTTGTAAAGTGATGGGTTAAAACCTACTAACTTTGTAAGATAAAGGATTAAAATTGTCATGTTATAAAATGAAGAGCTAAAACCTATCAATTTTGTAAGGTGAAGGGTTAAAATCTATCAATTTTGTAAAATGAAGAGCTAAATATTGGTTTTTTCCCTAATAGGATGGGACAATAGTATTCCAACATTTTCCATCGTGCGATTAGGTGATGCACGGGGTTCCTAGAAATATACCTTAAATCTAAATAAAGGTGTGGTTTTCATTTACGGACAACAATGGCTTGGAAGGTCATTGGGTCCCTCTCCCATAAGTAAAGTCAACTTGTTTGGAAAGAACTTTCAGAATGATTGTGTAGGGTTTAAAATATCCATTTGTTATGTGTTCTCATATTTAGAGATAATTTGATCAACATATTTAGAGATAATTTGATCAACATAGAACCAGTAATGATACACGCACAATCTAAGCGATATATCGGGAGGAAGCTCGAGTTCATTAATTAAATCCATAAAAAAAAACTCGAGTTCATCTAAAGGTTTCATAAAAAATGCAAGTCTTTTTCTATATATAATTAATAGAAAGTGTTTTGTATATTGTACTTTTATTTTTTTTTTTGAAAGACTTATTTAAAAAAGTATCTTTGAATTAATATTTTTTTAAATTAATTTAATAGAACTGACTAATTTATTAATTACATAAAATTTAATAATATTAAATATATATCAATAAGAAAATGATATGGACACATAATGGTCAACACCTAAATCAACACCCATTTGACTGATAGAAGTAAATTGGTAAATTTACCCTCCTCACAGCAAAACTCAATCAAGCCTGCTTCCCTTCATCCCTCTGTTTTCCATCACCA